ACACGGGGGGTGGGGTTAGGGGGGAGGGGGGGTTGGGTGGGGGCTAGTGATGTTCATGTTGTGTGAATGTTTATTAGGAAGCCACACACGCACACGCTGTGGAAGAGGGTGGGAGTGAGGGCAGTATGTGGCAGTGAAGTACACTGGACCTGATCAAAAACACCAAGTCCCTCTCTCACGTTCAAGTGTGCGAGCGACGACGAGCACACTTTCTATGGCACGGAGTGCAGGTATTGGGCTTGAGCCAAATGAATTAAGCGGCAGCTGACTGAAGAGAATGTATGCACAAGTAACTGCGGACAAAAGGTGCTACACACGTATAGCGTAGACACGCCTAGGGGATCCTAGGGGAACCTAGGACCCTACAAAACACAGGGGGCCAAAGTTTAAAGACGTTGCATGTTCAGTGCATCATAGCACGTACGAAGATAAAGCCAGACACACACACAGACAGGTCGGTACGCGCAGGTGGTTGGGGTGTGTCAGTTCTTTTTTTAAGACGTCGACGCGTGGAAACTTGGCTTGGTGGTTACCGACTGCTTGTTTATTCCGAAGTTTTTCCGTTCGGGGGATTGTCAGATGCTTGACGTCAGGAGAGCTGCTCATCCACACCGGTGCCATTGATGGTATGTGGCGTTTGTGTAAGGAGCCGGTCCCCACCACCAGAATAAAGACGATCTTCTGACGAAGCTGGGTCAGAAGTTGTCCCACAGACTGTGATGATGATGCTGGAGGATGAAGAAGCGCGCCTCTTTTTGGCACGAAACCACAGTTTCGTAGCACTTCGATGTCAAAATCGCAACGATTTTTGAGTTGTTTTCATGTACTACATGCTGCAACAAGCCTTTCACATCAATGCAAAGCACAGTCACACAACGGACATTCGTCATCATTGACCACGTGAAGATTTGACAAATGTCTTCAACCGCACGCGCGGAAACGAGCCCGGCGGGATGTTTTTGTTGAGGCTTCTTGAAAATGGTCCAGTCCCATGGATGGCTTGGGACAGATGTTGTCCATTGCATAGATGGGCCTGACCTATGGCCTTGGTTAGTTGATAACAATCGAGGGAACACACCCAAAGGAACAACCAACAGGTACATTGACATACATTGACTACATGGTACAAGAAGCTTCCCAGACTTGGTTGACAGGAAAATCTACCGGAAACCATGGTTTTCATCCCCGAAATCACGGAATTCATGGGGGTTCCTGTAGATTTTTCCTTATTGCTAGAAACAAGTGCATCGCTACTAGTAACAAGTGCCTTACTAGTAGTAACAGGTGCATCGCTATTAGAAACAAGAAGTTGGCCCTTATAATTATGGTAGATTCTGTCGGTACTTTGAGTTCTCACCTCTCTCTCTCTCTCTCTCTCTTCAACGTTACAGTGAGCGTCGTGCCGAAAAGGGAAGTGGTGGACGCTTGCTCCACTTCCATTATTGTCAGCTATGACTCCCACAAAGCAGGCTCAGCAGGACTGAACTGAACTGCTCAGCAGGACTGAACTGAGCGCTGGATTGGGAAGCAGCGGACCGATGATCGAGGGAGAATCGGATGCAGAGGAAGCTGCAAGGAATCACTCCGACCGACCGAAGCATTGCAGGTTCTGATATCACCGAGGTCGGAGTGAGAACCCAACCAGAAACACACAAGGTGCTACAATATGCAGTCGGCGCACTCGAAGGAGCTCAGTTCTATGGCTTGTCAGACCAGGATTTTGAGATGCTGCTGGTAAGATTGTGTGCATCAAGAGCACTATGGAAACGTTGCTTGAACGATATACTGATATATATACTAGCATGGCGAGGAAGCTCATCTGAGAGTGTGATGGATGCAGTGAATTCCATGAATTGGGCTGCAAGGCATGTTCGCATCTCAGAAGGAACACAATTGCTGAAGAGCCTTCTGTACGAGCACCAAGACCAGCTAGTACGAGCTGTTGTGAATGCTCATGTGATGGACTTGATGCAGAACAACAGATCGAAGAGCATGTGCCAGCAGTGCTGCAACACAAAGTACTACCGTGGCCTTAGGGGATCTTTTCCCGAGTTAGACCAGCGCATCAAGCAGCTTTGTTCATCATGGGGTTTGCATTACATTGCCTCGTGTCCCGAGAGCAAGAAATGCTTTCCAGATCAGAAGAGCACCTTCCTGTACATCAACCCAGTCTGGGCACCAGATGCGGTAGCTGATTGTTTGTCACATGTGGACAAATTGGAGTCATCCAGCTGTTTGCTAATTACATCTTGGAAGACTTTCACTGGTTGCCCAGACATATCCGATCAACAACGAGTACACGCATCCATTCAAGAACTTGAGGTTCATGTGCTCAAAGGACCAAGGTGGAAAGGAAGTTGCTTCAGGGATCCTGTGCAAGGGTGGGTTGAGGAAGAGAGATCGACCAAGATTGGAACCAAAAAGGGCGGCGTTTCCATCTACAGACCTGACAGATATCACAATCCAGGGAATAATGCGAGGTATGCAGGAGTCAGAGAGTGCAAGAAAAAGAGAGCCAAACAAGCCAAAACCTCTTAGGGTGTAGGCACTAAGAGGAACATTTGTTCAGAGACGAAAAGCACAGTATAGCCCAGATAGTCTGAGACCGTTTGAGACCTTCATTGTGGCTCCTACGATAGCACATATGCGTATGACGCATATGCATGACTAAGCAACCTGCTAATGACGCATATCACTATAACGCACATCACATCACTATGCCGACAGTGAGCCAAATCATGCAACAGGAGGAGTCTTTGGTGCTAAAAATGTCTGGTACAAGATCGGCGTTTAATTTGGTCGGACAAGGTATTTGCCACCTGTCTCTGACCCTTCAGGTTCGTTCGTTGCAACATCGGTCTCACATGGGCTACGGTTGACCAGAAGGTCAACCTGATTGACCATAGGTTGACCGACCTGCAGCCTGCGTGTTTCTTTTCGTTCACAGGGTAACTAAGCTAGAGGTATATAATCAGTATATATAGTACTTGTCTTTTAACACTTGTACCTATTGGTGTGTTTTGGGCTTCGGGCCCTCCTCCGCCGGACCGACAAACGCGGGGCTATGGCCGCAGGCGGAGTGCGATGGTGTGGAATCCCGGGGCTATGTGCACTCGGAGGCCGTTTCTCCGTGGAAGAGCGTGCTTTGTTGTAGGGGGGCGGGGGGGGGGGGGAGCAAGCTGAGCAAGCGTGCGGTGATATGCGGGGAGACATTGAAGGACATTGGGGTGCTTGACTTTCTCCGGAGCAAACAGTCCGATCGATCTAATTTGATTGAGTACCAGACTACAGCAAGGTTCAGACAGTCCGTCCTGCACGGTACAAGATCGTTTAAAGTCTGGACAGGTTCAATCTATTTCAATCTGTAGCGACCCAGACACTCCATGTATGCCATATATGCCTACATTGGGGTGGTTTGAGGGGTCAATGTAGGCATATATGGCACACATGGAGTGTCTGGGTAAAAGATGTAAAAAGATGTTACCCTCATCGAAGACTCGACAGGTTACCAGAAACCGCGGAAAAGAAACACCTTGAAGCTCTGGTTTTCTAAACTGACGGAGTGGGGGAAAAACCGGGGTGTACAGCTGCCATGATTCACACCATACGTCGACATGTACTATACCTTGGGTCTGTCCTAGAACACCTGTAGAGACCTCAGGATCCACACGAACATCACTATTTTTTGAGGGCCTGCAACTGAACCATCATCAACCACTGTTACCTATTGGTGACTCCTTTTCGCCAAGATGTTGCCTCTTTCCGGACCAAACAGAGCCCAAATCAAAGCCCTTCAACGGGGTGTGGGGTATACCAAACCCTTTCCATGTTCTTCGTTTGTCGCCATTTCCATGTCCATTCAGGTCCTAGCTCGGCTCTCGGCACTGGCTCGGCACTCGATGCGGAGCCAGACGTGACGCCGCAGGTGATCAACGAGCACCCCTCGGAGCTTCCCGACTTCGACCGAAGGAGAGGTCATGGCGGGTGACGTGAGCCACGGGGTCGTTGGACGAAGAGAAAAGCGGAGTTAGGCCGTAGACGGGACTCCCAAGACGAGACATGTGAACTTCTCTCCCAGGTGCGAAACAAACGGACTTGTCAATGCACCACTTCAAGTGGTACATGGAGCGAAAAAAGAGGCCCTGTGGTCCTTGGGCTTTGTTGTATCCCTCTTTTGATCCATGCACCATTGTCCTTCCACGGCTTTCTGGCCATGAGGACGCTTGCAGGGCCTAGCCATTTGCTCTCTTCGTTTCCCTTGCCCTGCTTCCAAACTCATCACCCAGTCCCCGTGATAGCACGGGACGCGAGGCCGTGCTTCGCCGGTGATAGCACGGCCAACCGCGCATTCGCCGGTGTTTTGGTGTTTGATGACTCTTTGGTTGGTGTTGTTTGATGACTCTTTGTGTTTTAACCTGTGTTAAAGCTCCTGAGAGCTCATCCTCCCCAAAAGTTGCAGGGGTTAGTCAAGTGGCCTGCCTGCCATAGCCACTAGACTCACTAGACCATACCGGCCCTTAGACTGTTGGGTTGGTCAATGTCCAAAAACACTGCTCTTCTGAGGGGTTAGTGATCTATGTTGCTTCCTGGCAACCTCCGTGACACCGCGTTAGCACAAGGATCTGGACGTGACACCGCGTTTTGAGGCTTTGAGGGTTGGTCAACCATTGGACACTCAACTGCCTAAGGCTTCAAAGATGGGCAGCATCGCCCCACCCTGAGGTGTCCCTGATGCCTTATAAGGCTCGACTCTGAAAGGCCACGAACATCAGCGGGGTCCTTTTGAAGCTACGAACGTATACGCAAGGGCATCGCGACGAACGGAGCGTTCGGACGCGAACCGAACGGGGCGCTCCTGGCATTACTGTTAACAAGAAGCTACTAGTAACTAATCATAACTAATCATATGATATCATATGTTCATTCACATCCTTTACATTCAAACATCGACCACAAAGAACAACCATACCCACTGAAGCCCTCTGAATAATTATTTTGACATGGGGTTCTTAGCATGGGCGATTTCCGGCATGCATGCTTCGTGTTCTCTTTAGGGTCTGAGAACATCTTGAGAACCATACCTTTGGGTTTCCTGGTCCTGTTTAGGCCCAAAGCCTCGTTTTCTCCAGGATGTGGGTGGTGGATCCTTTCTATGGCTGGCGGACACAGGTGTGCTTTTTGGCGCGCGCGCGCGTAAGCTCGAGGGGGGGTTCTGTTGCAGATAAAGGTTGTTTTGATGCTCCCTACAAGTCTGTTTGACCTCGTTGTACTGGAGCTCAGTGAGCTAAAGGACCAGGTTTTACTGGGTCAGACTGACCTTAATCATGTCACTGAGTCATTTGCGCACCCCAATTCAGGTAAAGGCTGGCCAGTAGACCATATGTCTCAAACATGACTTTGAAGAAACCGAACGCTCACTGTCACGAAGGTGGCATATAGGAGGATCCGAGACAGGAAAGTCCCACAGCATGAGATGAGATGGTCCAATGTACAGCTACAGAAAGTGTTGTAATGCAATCCCTTTTTTGAGTCATCGATCTGGATTGGTGGCATCTATACGTACTTCTTGGGTCGTAGATGTAAAATGATTTTTAAAAAGACAACTGTTAACTATGTCAGCGCCCTCGGCGGGCGAGGGCCACGGTGTGGGGTGTTCCCCTGTCGTGTGCAATAGGTGCTTTGCTTTGGGAGATTACATTGCTCGGCTCCCTCCCGGAAGTTGCGTTGGAAATCTGAGAGTTCTTTGGAGGGGTGAAAGGCGATGAAGGCGCAGCCTGTTCATGATGTGCCGCCTGTTCTAAAGACGGCTTATATGTTTCAAGCCGAGACTGCAATGTTTGACGCTCCCATTGCATCGAATCATTTGCAAAAGCTTCAAGCGCTCGAGCTTTGCATTCGCCGGCATTTGCCTTGTCGATTTGTTTCTCACCTGTCATGTGAGGTAATTCGGATTGATTTGGGCAGGTGATACATTGTGAGAGACTCGTGATCAATAAGCCATCCCATTTGGACTGTGAAAACCTCTACACTGCACAGCTCAAACCGCTTGGTAGGTTTGAAAGCTGCGGAGGAACCATTGAATCGTTTTGTTTTTGTTGTCCATGGTCCATGAACATCCTCAAAGTATAAGCTGTGGAATGCACGGAATGCACCCTGCATTATTTTTTTTTACACCCTTGGACTCCTAAGAGAGTTTGAATAAGAAAACATCGCCTGGTTGACTTGCCGGCCGTGACATTCACCCGGAGCACAGGATCCGGAGGTCGACTTCGACTTGAGACGAAAGCCGTTTGGTACAGAAGATGCTGGGGGATGCAGGGCGGTTTGGAATTGTCCCAGCTAGGTGGTTGACTGCGTTTGAGTTTCTGCCATTTAAGATGGGTTGTTGGAGTCATAAGTGCAAGAGGAATAGACTTGTGCGACTGTCTTAGACTCTGTACGGTCCGTATAGCCGTCAAGATGAGAGCGGGATTTGGTTCACCTAGCGACTTCTTTTGTGTTTGCTATGCTGCCAAGCAAAGCACCTTCAATCAGCTCGAGAAACTTCAGCTCCTTTAGCTCTAGCAGGTTCTGAAGGACTTTTCGGTCTTCTCATTGGCTCACTAGGGATGGAAGTGGCAAATTACTGGCAAATTGACTCTGTGGTAAGACTTGTTTCCACAAACAGGTGGTTGGGTGGTTCTCAGGTGCTCTCCGTTCAAACAAGTTGGATCCAGACAGAAGCGATGTCCATTTGGCTACCCCAGGCTGGCACCCATTTTCAGTCTTCCAGGCTGGCCGAGGGGAAAGTGTTGCTACTGAGGCCTCTCCATTTGATGCCCACTTCCGGGTGGACACCGGAGGCACCGGCACCACAAGACATTGGAGAAGGGTGAGAAGGGGAAGGAGAAGCCTTGACACCAGAGGGGCGGATGTGGGTTGCTCTAATCGGGGTGCAAAGAAGAGTCGCCAGGCGCCATTAAACACTCAGGAGGCTCCTTGCCCTCATGTCATGTGTGTGTTTTTCCCCAAACAGTGTGGACACACTTAGGGGTTCTTGCGGTAATAGTTAAGCAGCTGTGCTTAGATTGCTGGGGCGGGGGGCCATGGACGGCTAATTCGCCCTTTGAAGCTCGATGCGCAGATTTCGTGGCAGGGGCAGCACTTAGAGAACCTCGAAGTGCAGATTTCGTGACAGGTACAGCACTTTGCGAACCTTGAAGT